GTAAGTAAAATGCGTGAATCGTTGTGAATTATAGCGTGTGTTTAAGTTAAAGTGACTGTGGAAATTAAGTGTATTGCAAAGTTGTATTGAGGAAGGATAAACTAGTTTTATTTAAGAAAGGACTTGTATCGCTAAAGTTTCATCCGAAATAAATTATACGGGAAATTAACAAACGACTAGAGACGTAACAACTTTTTAATCTCAAATGATATTTAAGTCCAACAATCAAAGTACGATTATCCACATGATCACAAGTCACACAGCGTGATCGGTTACACCCTGGAGGTGTGACTGAGTGAACGTTGTTGTTGTCAGAAGTGGAGCGAACCAACCAACCTTCCAGACGATGGTTTTGTATTGTTACGTCTCTGGTCGTTTGTTAATTTCCCGTAAAAATTCTTCCCGAGGAACTTCAGCGATACAAATCCTTTCTTAAATAAAACTAGTTTATTCTTTCTCAATAAAACTTTGCAATACACTTAATTTCCACAGTCAGTTTAACTTAAACAAATGCTATAATTCACAACGAACGATTCACGCACTACCGCGCTTGACTCAATTGTCCGTCACTATCTCTGTCTGCTATTCAGTTGTTGCCGTCGTTTCCCTGGCAGTTATTTAGATTTAAAAATAATTATTTCCGAAGAAATAATTACTAATCTGGGGTGCTCGAAGATTAATCAATCCTCCTTCACCCCTCTCGTGGTCTAGGAATATGGGCTTAACTTGAGAAAATTGGAAATTAATGTAGACGAAGTATGTAATTTTAAAAAGGTAAAGAGAGAGTAAGTGTAGACACTAGTAAAGACTGATTCGTTACCAGTGCCCGATTAATGAGAAGAAGTAAATAGGGAAGGCAAAGTGAAGTCCGGTGCTGGGGGTTGATCAGTTTTTTGAAACTGTTGTGGAGTCTCCTGGTTTTAAATTGGCACAGTTTCTGATTCCGGGCAGGTGGTAAAGGCGTGGAGTTCTCGGTGTCGTTGGTGAGTGAGCGGGTAGGTAGAGATCAGAAGAGGTGTCGATTACTAAGGCGTTCGGTGAGTTCGACGCCAATGATGTAGAAAGTGGCTTGGGGCTGGGAGGCGTGTTGTTGGTTTGTTGATAGGCGTCGTTGGTAAATGGTGGCTGGGTCTGGGTGCCTTTTTTCCCTCCTGATAGTGGTGGTTTAAGTAGACATATCTTGTGTTTCAGGAGTGGGTGAGGTTTGAGTAGCTTGGTCTGTTGTATTAGGATGGGCGGTAGAGTACTGGCTGGCGATGGTTTTCTTCTGGGTGTTGGCTACTAATTTTGATTTCATTCTTTTAAGTTGCACACTGAATCCTTTTTTGGCCGCACCTTTTTCACACCAAAAGTGTTTTTGATTAGATATCATGCATTTTTGTAAATACACACCAAATAAGAAAGTGACACTCGATAGTAACCAACATTATCCTTAGGATCTCAAACCTATTGTTACGTCTCCGTTTGTTAATTGATTTTTTCGTAACTTTGTTCCGACGAAATTTTAACGACACAAGTCTTTACTT